TCATGAATCTGACTTAAATATCTATCACTTACATCAAGAAAGTTCTCCCAATTAACCTTCCCCAAGTTCCCCCCTGTGCTCTCTATGAACAGTGGTGTTTCCATATTTATCTTCCACCAAACTTGGTTTGATACCAATGTGAGATCTAGCACAGATTCTTGTACTGTATATATATATCTATCCTTGTGTTACCGCCATCATTTAAGCATACTAAATTCTTTTCATCTAGTAACTCTTCTATCACCTGGCCATTTGTGACTGTTCTATCACTACCCCATAATGTGTTATGTCTATTAAAATCTCCACACCAAACAATATTACTACTATTCTGCCCTTCTATCTCTTCCAGCTTCATTAATTCTATTCTTTGCATGGATCAATAATTCACAACGGCTACTTCTGTCCTTTCAGCCCACACTTTCACTACCACGTACTCTTGTTCTCTTACCATCCCTAAAATCCTGTAAGGAATCCTGCCCCCTCCATCCTATCTCACCTCACAGTTACGTGGAACAAAATCCAAGTTTGGTTTTAACATTCTTCGATGGTTAAAACCGTCTGGTTTCCCCCCTACTAACTATAAACTGTTTGAAATCTTGCCCTTTAGCTATTAAACCTCTTGCGTTCCACTGAAGAATTAAAATTATTAGTACTAGTACTATGCCCTGCGATGGACTGGTGACCTGTCCAGGGTGTACCCCACCTTTCCCCTGATGTTAGCTGAGATTGGCTCCAGCCCCCCGCGACCCTGTACGCAGGATAAGCGGTTGACGATGGATGGAGTATTAGTACTATAAACCCACACATGCTGTCTCTTGAATTCACTGTATACTGAGTTAATCTCTTACTTCTTCCCACTTTAATCCTATCATTTAAATGGTGCACTGCAGCTTTTACTATGACCTGAATCCGTTCAGTTTTAGATATAATCTCACATGTTGCATTTATCACTCCTGCTATGAATGTCACCAACTTCTTCTTCTCTACCCATGCCTTCTTCTCTTCTTGCTGTTTTCTCTTTGCTACATCCTCCCTCCTTATGCTTGTTATTCTCTCCTGCCATCTTAACGGCCTCAGCATATGATACTTTTTCCTTTACTTGAATTTGTTGCACCTCCACCTATTGCTTCAACACCTCACATCCCCAATATGCAACGCTGAGATTACCTCCACAGTTACAACATTTGGGACTCACTCCCTTTCCACACTTCCCATATTCAGGTTTCCCGCCACATCCAGCACATTTTCTCTTTCCTTTGCATACTTTAGCTACATGTCCAAACACCTGGCAGTTGAAACATTGCATAGGTTGTATTCACTTACATACCAAGGGCAGCTGTGGCTTAGGAGGTAGAGCAGGATGCCTGTTAATTGGAAGGTTGGTAGTTCAATCCCCAGGCTGCATGTTGAAGTGTCATTGGGCAAGATACTGAACCGCTGAATGTGTGTGAATGTTAATTTCTGTGTGAATGATGAATGCTGTGTAGTGGTCAGAAAGGCGCTACACAGAGCATTTACATTATGTCCCACAGTAAACCTCCTTTCGAGTCACCTTTTCCCCGAACTCTACCAAAACACTTTCAGTCTCAATTTTAAATAAAAGCATCAACTAAAATGATCTGATTTAAATATAAAGTATGATCTTATTAATTCAGAGTCTAGAGCTCAAATGACCTGTTTTGTGATGACTCTACAGTTCTGTCTGTACCACCTTCAAATCATTTTCTTTTAAGAAACATTGTGAACCGTCTGGCTGTGAGGCAACAGTGCTAACCACTCCACCACCAAACTACCCTGATACATGAAAATATTCTTTAAAATGCGAAAAGTCTTAAATACATATTTAAAAAAGAAACATTTGACCACAATTGTCAGATGATTCGTATTTATGTTTTTATGCTTAAATTTTTCTGAACTGTGTCAGTCATTTGTTTTATTTTATTTTATGTAAAACATTTTAATTTCCCACATTTCTATGACTTTGCATTGTGTTATATTTAACAAATAACTTTATAAGTAAGTTTCGTGCATAAGAAATTCCTGTCCAGGGCCTATATACTGCCACACATTACTAAAATAAAAGTTTTATTTAAAATGTAACCAGAGAAATTCTGTACTGTGTGTCTTTGTAATGTGTCTCTTCATTTTATTTTTATTTTACTGATATGGACCTATGTGTTATAAAAGTTGATTGCGAAACTACACCCCCTTGTCTGGTGAGAGTTTCATTTTGAACAGGTGTTGGGCTCAGTTGTGCCTGCACTCTGAGAAGTGAATGCACCTCAACCACAACACCGGAAGTATGATTGAGGTTTTGTGTCCAATTTATCCTAATTACACACTATGGCCACTAGAGGGCATGGACACTCAATTCACCTTCAATTCTTGTGTTCAATGTGTATGCATTCAATGTGTATGTATGGACACTCTCCACAGGAAAGGGCAGAGCCGTCTGTACTTCCTGAGAAGGCTGGGGTCCTTCAACATCTGCAAAAACCTGCTGCACATGTTTTACCAGTCTGTGGTGGCCAGCGTCCTCTTTTATGCTGTAGTTTGCTGGGGAGGAAGCAGCAAGAAGAGAGATGCCGGTCAACTGGACAGACTGGTGAGGAGAGCTGGCTCAGTGCTGGACTCTCTAGTGACAGTGGCAGAAAGAAGGACCCTGGACAAACTGCTGTCCATACTGGACAACGCCCACCACCCTCTGCACAACAACTTCATCGGGCAGAGGAGTGTGTTCAGTGGCAGACTGCTGTCCCAGCCCAGCTCCACCAACAGACTTAAAAACTCTTTCATCCCCCTGGCCATCAGACTGTACAACAGCTCCTAGTCATGGCAGGGAGGACAACAGACAAAAGAACAATTTCTACCTCCACCTGTACTGTTTACTTCCATCTGCACTGTTTACTGTTTTGCACTGTTTTACTGTGGCTACTGTGTTATAAGTTATTTTAATTTAAATTTTATTTTAATATACGTTTAATGTATGTTTAATGTATGTATGTTTCGTATACTACTGGATACTTGAATTTCCCTCGGATTAAATAAAGTATATATATCTATCTATTTATCTATCTATTAAATTCCAAATTCAATTGAAATTCAATTCAATTTCACTTCCAGAATCAGTTCCTGTATGTATTGCTGAATTGATATGAAAGACAGTGCGCGATTGAGGAATTGACAAAGGTTGCAACTACTTACAGTTTCAGAAGTCAGTCGAAACCATAAATAAGGAGGCAGCGTGTGAATATAATGATAAATGAAAATAAATGTGGACATTTACACTGTTACACAGTATTAACAGAGGTGTAATTATTAATAGCAATTTATAGTATAATGCAATATTAACAGAAGCGCAATGATAAATACATAGCAGGAATGACTAGTGTAATAATAATAAACAAAGATGAGTGCTAGTAGTGATGATTAGTAGTGATGGATTAAAAATCCTTAATGAGGATCCATTGGTGGGCAAGTCTGGTGCCAGAAGCCACAGTAATTCCAGCTCCAACAGGAGGACCCAAGTAATGAAACAGAAAGTATTGCACATAAGTATTATGACAGAGAATATTGCACCATATGTCAGTTATTGCACTACAAGTTCCAGTTAATGACTAGTGTCCGAATGCCTGATACTCTGAGGGAGGAGTTAAATAGTTTGATGGCCACAGGAAGGAATGACTTCCTCTCTGCTCTGTGGTGCATTTTGAAGGGATGAGTCTTGCATTGAAAGTGCTCCTGTGTTTGACCAGCACATCATGGAGTGAGTGGTAGTCATTGTCCAAGATAACATGTAGCTTGATTTTTATTTACAGTCTGGGGGGGTGATGGCGCATAGATAAGATGCCTTTGGTGTAGGAGACCTGGGTTCAATTCCCACTATGAGACATCCACCATTGTGTCCCTGAGCAAGACGCTTAACCCTAGTTGCTCCAGAGGTGTGCGACCTCTGTAAGTTACTTTGGATAAAAGCGTCAACTAAATGAATAAATGTAATGTCTATGAGCTTGAATAGCATCCTTCTCTCTGACACCACCGACAGAGAGTCCAGCTCCACCCCCACAACGTCGTTGGCCTTGCAGTCTATTAATGTCCACTATTAATAGACTATGTCTCAACCTGCGGCTCCAGCAAACAGGATAGCACTGGCCACCACAGACTCATACAACATATTCATGTCCGGCAGATGTTGAAGGACCTCAGCCTCCTCAGAAAGGAGAGACGGCTCTGGCCCTTCCTGTAGAGGGCTTGAGTGTTCTTGGCCCAGTCCAGTGTATTGTCTCCCAGGTACTTGTAATCCACCACTTTGTCCACCCTCACTGAATTAATGTTTTCCATGCACCAACAGAAAATCAGCACTTGTTTCTCTTATAGAAACGTAACTTTAGGTTGATTTGGAGTGGTTTGTAAACAAGGAAATATAGGCATATATGTTGATGCTGTAAGTGGTCTTGTCTAGTTTAAACTTCTTCCAATCATGTTTGTTTTTGTGTGTAAAATCTCAGTCTGAAGGCAAGGCAAGGCAGGTTTACAGTACATTTTGGTAACAAGGCAATTCAAAGCTTAAAATTAACAGAAATAAAGACCACAATAAAGGCGGCAAAAGCACTGTGAAGACTATGACTAAGAAGACAAGCGACCATGATCAAATTGTGTATTGGGATCCTTTTTGGCTTATAATTAGACAATCTGTAACAATAAAGTATAGTGTATTTTGGGTCTAATATGGCAAATATAACAATAAAGAATCATTTCTAATTTTCATTTTCATTTCTATTTTAATACAAAGTAGGCATCCAGCTTTTCATGTCCTATCAGTGCACCACAAAATAAAGTGTGACCTGAAATTCTAGGTTGTTGTGTGTTGTTGTTTCAGTATCTTGGGAGAACGAACTTATTTTTTCTCATTTTCTTTTCTTTAATTTATTATAAGAATTGGTGAATGTGTGATTAGATTCCCGATCCACACTCCAGTCCAGCTGGTGGCGGTAATACGCCATGACATCGTTTGCCAACCGCAATGAAAAACATTAAGAAGAAGAAGAAGAAGAAGAAGAAGAGCCGTGCACTTCAGGCGTTAACATCACTACAAGGGCAGTTCAGCTCAACCAGCGCTACGTTTATTGTCAGTAATTCTCCAGGTAAGCTTCTTATTCGTTTTGTTTTGATACAACTTTTAATAAGTGTTCAACAGAAAAAAGAAAAAGGCTGCTTTCCGTTCAGGATCAGGTTGGTTGCTAGCAACAAGGTGCCATGCTAGTTAGCCACCGTTAGCATGCTAATGCCAGATTAGCAAACAGCTAATTATAAAGTGAGTGAGTGCGGGGGGGATGGGTCTGCTACTTCGACTACGGCTTGTGGTTTAATCCTACATATGTCATTAGGTAAGTGCACGTTTTTAGTTTTGATATGAATGCCACTAAAAAAAAAACGTAGAAAGTCAGACATAGCCCCTGTTAGTTAGCAAGCAAAGGTTTGATTGTTGGCTGAAGTTAGTTGAGCTAGCGATAATATCTGGGTGAATATTCACCGGATTCAAACGCATATGCTCCCACAGCTCCCTAAGTTTGACCGAGCATAGTCTGTACGTTGCATCACTTTTATTCACAATGACACCGTGACAGCATTGGATGTGAGCAGCGAGAATGACAGTAAACAGCGTGTCCCAATAACGTTACTTCTCAAACCTTTCCTATTCTTCCGCAATCATTGTTTTCTGGCGAGTCTCGGTCCGTAAGGTATCTTTTCCTCTTTGGGATTTGTCACGTGATTACCCACAGTGAGAGCAGGGACTGAGTTGTTTACTGTAATTTGTACCAGTTTAACCAGGGCTCTGTCACAGTGTAACTGTCATTGCCAGAGGCCCCCTGGGAACAGTCAAGACAGATGTTTTCTGCCCAATTTTGATTGACATGTTAAATATCTACACGGCATAGAGTCAGAATCAGGTTTATTGCTAGGTACATTTTCACATGGGATGAATTTGCCTTGGTATATATTTGTGCTTAACAGTACACATAAATAAAGATATATATATAGTAAAGATATTTTTAAAAAATTGCAATTATACAAAATAATAACACTAATACAAAAAGTAGTGCTGCCTGGGGGCTGGGCTGTTTCTAAAATCCACGACCATCACCACTGTCTTCAGAGCATTGAGCTCCAGATTGTTCTGGCTGCACAAGGTCACCTGAGGGTCAATCTCCCACCTATAGGCAGACTCATCACCACCAGAGATGAGCCCAATGAGGGTGGTGTCATACACAAACTTCAGGATGGTCTAGTGGCTGGAGGTGCAGCTGTTTGTGTACAAGTAGTGTAACGTTAATAGTGTAATGTTCTTGGCTTGAACTGATACCTCTTTTACTTATACCATGTAATGCTTCGAAGTACTCTAGAGACTATAATATTAGGGCAGACCTCATTTAACAACAGCTTAATCACAAATAACTTGCACTTGCAAGTTGCGACATGTAGTGATTGAGACACATCATTTCCCTACAGTTGTTTTTGGAAGGGTGTGTAAGAGTTTTCTTTCATAATGTTTAGAGTTTGTAGTAGGCATGTAAAACGTCTGTATTTGACCTTCTCTGTCACTTCTTAAACCACCCTTATTTACATGTTTTCCTCTCTGCCTGCGTGAGCTCTGTTTCAGTCTGCTTTCTCCCTTTGGTGCAGGTCCCATTATGCGCAGTGCGTATCTCCTCCTGATACCAGCTCTGCTGCTCCTCCTGGCCCTTCCTGTCTCCAAGGGACGCTACAATGATGACTTTGATGATGGCGAGGACCTAGCAGACTTTGATGACAATGACTTTGCTGAGTTTGAGGACATGAACGATGATCCAGCGGCCGAGGAAGAAACTGCCCCTCCGCCTCGTGTCTCACCGTCCTCGCAGCCTGAAGAGGATGAAGATGAAGATGAAGCCACTGTGGAGCTGGAGGACGGCCAAGATGGTTTTGAGGACTCAGAGACACAGGTACATTTCCTTTTATTGACAGCTTAATTCTTTAGCACAGTATGCATATATCATTTTTGATCATTTATAGTATTATATTCATTTATACAGATTTGTAGCAAAGCCCTTTCAACTCCATGTCTCCCTAGGATCAAGACATGTACAGCAAATATGACCAGGAGGAGTTTGAGGGGATTGGAGACATGGAGAAGACAGGCCACTCCATGAAGGATCCCCTCATAATCCACACAGTAAGCCGGGTTTATTGCTTAAATCTTCTCACCTACTACCTTCTGCTGATTGTGATTTTCCCAGGTTCTGAATGTGCAAACAATTTCTGTTGCTTGCAAAAGATACATTTTACTGTAAAGGCATTTATGCTTGGGGGATGCTGCCCTATAGGGCTTAATATATTATCTGTGTGTTATGGTATTAAAAATGCAATTATGCAGCTTAGGGAGGCTAATGCGAGGAAAAATTAAAGTAGATTACTCCACTGTTGTGTAGCTGCTGCTGAATTGTGTTGGTTAGCGAGGATGCAGTTTACATTAACTTTTCCCACAATTTCACTATGTAACACTGAAATTGTAGCCTAAGGCAACTAATTGTCTTCAGCCTAATTTACCATTATTTCGTTTGCATTGATACTAATTGGAGCTAGATAGATATATTGGCCAATATTAGCTTATTAGCTTATTGCAGATATATCGTGTCTATATTGGCCAACAAGTAACAAGAAATTTCGGTACAGAAATGCCAAACTTGGTTTGAGGAATTTTAGAAACGTTGTCATCATTACATAGTTTGTCCACCAGAGAGCACTTAATTTTTCAACTGTAAAATGTCCCACTCAGTATGTATCTTGGTCACTTTAAAAAACAAAACCCAAAAACTATTGGCCGGTATATTATCATGTATTTTGAAAAAATGCATTGGACTCCCGTTATAATACTTACGACTATTTGCTGTTTCTCTGCAGGTTCCTGCACATCTGCAAAACAGCTGGGAGAGTTATTACATGGAGATCCTGATGGTGACTGGCCTGTTGGCCTACATCATGAACTACATCATTGGCAAGAACAAGAACAGTCGCCTTGCTCAGGCCTGGTTCAACTCACACAGAGAACTTCTAGAGAGCAACTTTGCACTAGTGGGTGAGTGTATTAAATATTACTTGCATATGCTTGTGCTTTGTCCTTGGTTCAAATGCATTAAATGGTGACAGTCTATATAAAGCACATATTGTGTCAATAATTTGCATGTCCAGGTGACGATGGCACCAGTAAAGAAGCAGTGAGCACTGGGAAGCTGAATCAGGAAAATGAGCACATCTACAACCTTTGGTGCTCGGGACGTGTGTGCTGTGAAGGCATGCTGATCCAACTTAAGGTATAGGTAAAATGTTTTCATATATTGGTGTGTCTGTGTGTTAAACATACAGTCATGTGTAATGTTCCTTGTGGTCTATTCAAGTTTCTGAAGAGGCAGGACCTGCTCAATGTTCTGGCCAGGATGATGAGGCCCATCTGTGATCAAGTGGTATGTAATAGTCAAATATCAATTCAAATAACTCTTTGTGGAGTCTGTAATGTTTATCGCACAGCACAGATGCGCTGGACTGTGCTTCGAAAAGTAGTAGTAGTTGCAATCATTGTCTCACCCACAGCGTCTGTCTGTTTGCAGCAAATCAAAGTGACTCTTAATGAGGAGGACATGGACACTTTTGTGTTTGCTGTTGGCACCAAGAAGGCCATGGCCAGGCTTCAGAAGGAGATGCAGGACTTGGTAAATATCCTCCACAACTTGTGCACATCAAAATGATGTTTACTATACAGTACTGTTGTTACTACACGTGGATTGTTTTATTTGTAGTCCTTGTTCACTCTTACAGTTTTGCCCATTGACAATGTTTTCTCTGTTGCTTACCTACTTAGTTATTACAACTTGTATACCTGGTATACATTTTTGTTCCTTTTCCATAGAGTGAGTTCTGCGGGGACAAGCCTAAGTCTGGGGCTAAGTATGGGCTCCCAGACTCCCTGGCTATTCTAAGTGAGATGGGTGAAGTCACAGATGGGGTGATGGACAACAAGGTAGTGTTTTTATGCTTATTTCACATACAGTATTACCACAAAAAGACACTGCAGAGTACTGAATGGGGTTTCTTGATTTGGCTGACAACATATTACAGCTCTCATGTGTCTGTATCTGTTTTTGGTATTTTTAGATGGTGCATTATATCACCAACAATGCTGACAAGATTGAGTCCATTCATTTCTCGGACCAATTTTCTGGTCCAAAAGTTATGCAAGAGTAAGCTTTTGTTTTTAAATCTTTTTGCCTCTTACATGCGAGTTATTTAGCATTTTCTACATGGTACTAAAAGTTCTTGTGGTGTTTTTGTCAGGGAGGGTCAGCCCTTAAAGCTGCCTGAGACCAAGAAGACGCTGCTGTTTACATTTAATGGTGAGCATTTTGTCTTCTATATGAAACAATCTTCACTATACCTCATGGCCACATCATTTGATTTTACTAGTGTGTTTAATTAATGTGTGTTTGTAGTGCCTGGCATGGGCAACACCTCTCCCAAAGACATGGATGCTCTGCTCCCTCTCATGAACATGGTGATCTACAGCATCGATAAAGTCAAGAAACTCCGTCTCAACAGAGAGGTGAGTAGAATTCTTTTGCTCTGGTACCTTTTTTTTTTATAACGCATCAAAATAACCACTCACTTATTTGCTGTATTTTGTGCTTTTAAATTTCAGTGTCTTTTCATCCTCCCTGTATATTTAGGGCAAACAGAAAGCAGACAGAAACCGGGCCCGTGTGGAGGAGAACTTCCTGAAGCAGACTCACGCTCAGCGTCAGGAGGCAGCCCAGACCCGCCGGGAGGAGAAGAAGAGGGCTGAGAAAGAGAGGATCATGAATGAGGAGGACCCTGACAGACAACGTCGTCTTGAGGTCAGAAATCAGAAATGCCACACACAAACCCCACAAAAAATATTTAAAGGAATATTTTGACATCTGCTTTTACTCTTGCTTGCCAAGAGTTAGATAAGAAGATTGATAACATTTGCATCATTACGGTAAATATTTAGCTTTAGCCAGCAGAGAGTTAGCTTAGCATTAAGACTGGAAGCCAAGGGGGGCAAGACTGTCCCTGTCCAAAAGTAACAAAATCAATCACCTCTAAAGCTAAATTTTACATGTTATATTGTTTGTTTCAATCTGGATAGAAACCAAAGTGTAAAAATGAAACTGGAGACGCCAAGAAATCACTGCTCCCAGCCAAGAGATAGCAGTTTTCACACTTGAGTTTTTGTACGGATTAAACAAAGCTACATAATTTGTTAACTGATCTTTAGAGGTGTTGTTAGGTGGATTTTGTTACCCTTGGATAGAGCCAGGATAGCTGTTTCGAACGGTTTCCCAGGAGCTGCATAAATCTTCTTATCTAATTCTCAGCATAGAAGCAAATCAGCATATGACCTAAAATGTCAAATTATTATAAAGAAAAGCACACACATGAGTATAGATCTCATTTTCACTGTTGGGATTTATGTCTCATATACATTCATTTTTTTTCCCCCCCTTTTGTTATTTATCAGGAAGCAGCCCAGCGGCGAGAGCAGAAGAAGATTGAGAAGAAGCAGATGAAGATGAAGCAGATCAAAGTGAAAGCCATGTGAAAGACCACCACAGAGATAGTGAAACAAGCACAGTGCCCAGCTCAGACACTTTTCTCCAGCTTCTTTCACCACAGTCTGCAGCTCTGGCTCACAGTCGCTCCAGCTCTAAAAAGACATCCTGTGCCTCTGGGTGTGTCAAGCTTAGCTGTCTCTGTCACCACCTGCTCCATTTGGTGTGGCTGAAAGTTAATGACTGAGAGTGAACTGTCCATGTCAAGTGAGAGGGGCTGTCTCACCATCATATCTCACCACAATTCCTGCCGGGATTTTTTTTTTTTTCTTTTCTCTCCAACCATCTTCTCAAAATGTAATCAAAGCTCTGTTTGAAAGCTAGCTTAGGGAGCTTTTTAACTAAAATCTGCTGGGAGAGAACACACTATTTGGTGATATTAGGCCACATTTTAAAAAGAAATAAAGCATTGCTGTGGTTTCAGCAGAAATGTATTAGCATTAATATAATCTTAAACAATACTATCATGGACATTTTAATTTATATCTGCTATGATTGGTTTCATGCAGGCTGTTTCTAATGAATATCTGAGCAAACATAATAAAATGCACTGGAGTCTGTTAACTGTTTTCATTGTTTGTTGTTAATTTCAAGTAATTTGATTTACAATGCAATTGATGGGTGCAAAAAATGTAACAGGTCTTAAGACAGTTGTGTACGACATAGAAACTGATACCGAGACCTGTTAGTATCAGCAGTTTATAGAGTGAGGGGTCTATAACGGGGACCAGAATGAGTGAGGCTTAATGCTAAATTTAACTTTCAGATTGTGTCAGCAGTCTCTGAACTAGATTTGGTTACATCTGTGTGGCTGACCATCTAAGATGGATACAATGACGGTGTCTATCCAGATTTAAGTCTGGGTTATATGAAAGCACAATCTTTTGGGGGGTTTTGGCCACACAATCTCAAAATGTAATGCGATCCTTCAACACAGAACCATAAATATGCTGTCAGAAATAAAGTTAACAGAACACGTTCAACAATTGCAGCTTCTCAACAGTATTCAGTCTAAATGGGATTATGTTTAAATTGCATAGCATGATAGTGTCCACCCTTTACAATCTTGAGATCTAACGGTGCAGATGACACAGTATGATACACTACCATATATCTTGATATTTGCAGATATAATGGGTATATGAGTGGATGTGTTTTTATTGCATTATCTTACCCTACTTATTCATAGATAACTATTGTGTCTAGTAATTTCTCTCTACTATCCTGCTGTGCTCACTCAGTTTTCTTATGGGGTTCACCTGATTCTTTTTCTAATTCTTTTAATCTTTAAATGTTTTAAAACACTGATGGGGGGCCATTTTTCTGCCTAAAGAGTACTTTCACTTTTGGTGCTTCAAGTGCATTTTGCTAATATTTTTACTGATAAGACACATCCCTTTCCCAAGGCAGTGTTCCTGAGCAAGACACTTAACCTGTAGTTGTTCCAGAGGCGTGCAGCCACTGACAGACATAGCAATTGTTGTGTGAATAGAAGTTTCCGCTAAATGACTAATTATTATATTATTACAAGAGTAAAACTTTGAATATAGCTGTGGACTTTCTATCATCCTCTTAAATGGTTTCTGTAAACACTACAAAAAATGAGTAAATCCCTGATTATGTCTGTTATATATTAAATATTAGTACTGCTCACCATTTGGGTCAGAAGTGATAAAATCATAGGATAAAATGTGTAGTTCATGTTAACTGAGTTGTCACTGATCAGCCTTTAGGGGGCGCGTTGATCACTTACCTGAGGTTGAATTTGGATCAGCAGATTCAAACAATTCTTTTCAACTGTAGAAATTTGATTTAATAATATGCAGTCGTTTAATTACCTAAAATATTTTATTTTAATTATATTTGCAGTGCTGCATGTCGATATAGTCGCTTCTGTATTTTTCTATTTCAGTAACCGAGGTGTAAAGAAAGTGCCGATCAGGAATCGTAGGCTGCATTCGCTTAACACTGATGGAGAACAGGCGAGGCTTTCAGGTTGGTTACGCGATGGCCGCTCTCATAAATATAGGGATTTTAAAAACGAAAACAATGGCTTCTTCGCTCGGAGAGGCGTGTTGTTGTTTTGACTAACTACCGGAATGATAGCGGCATCGTTTTAGCTCGTCAATTTTGCCTCTGCGCTTTGTCGGAGACGTCCCTTGTTTGTTAGGGACTCAGTGTTTTTCTTGTTCGTCTCCCGGGCCTGGCTGCAGCTGCCTACACTGTAGCGGCGGGTTGCTACTTTCGGATGAGCGGGCTGTAGGTCTCGAAGAGGTGGGGGTCTGAATTTAGGCTAACCGGAGCCAAAACAAGCCAGTAGAGCTTCGGATATATGCACATAACACGAATATTACTGATAAAATGTTATCGATGTGGACGAAGATCAGAGTTTGACTCCCTAACTTGATGTTCTTGCTAGTTAGCATTAGCCAACGGCAGCGTTAACTTACCCTAGCTAAAGCGAGAATGCATAAGTAATGTGAGATCAGTTAACGTTATCTAACGCAAGAGCTATCGATTATGTTGTTCCTACGGAGGAGGTCTGGACCCGAATTAACCTGCGTTTAACGTGAACTCAGTGCGGACGCTGGAAAACAGTCTCTTTGCGTTTTGTTGGTGCAAGCTAGCTAGCTAACGTTAACTGGTCAGTGACGTAACGGTGGTCATTGTTTTGACAGCACGCAGCATCTTAGTCAAGACTGAAAACCTCCTGATTATCATGCTTTTAAATTATTTTTTTCCTCTGCCTTGGACATGACAATTACCAGACAGTGGTCAGAAAAAGTTAATTTTTGGCTAACTGATGTGACGCAGCTCATCGTTGTGTTACATTACCACTCTGTGTACCTGCAGCGGCCAAATATACTTTATCTGTTATTACTGCAGCATTTCAGATGAGTATAGCTCTCTGTTCGGTCGCTAATTTGTTAAAGCTTCGTCTTCATCCTGGTGGTGGTGATGATGATGATGATTCTGATGTGGGTCTGTCTCCAAACAGTAGCTGATGTCTGAAATCATGGTTTTCCCCTTTGTCAGTTGTAGGATGGATCCAGACGCTGAGGCAGATACACAAAAAGCTGTCAGTTTGCAGTGGAAGAGCTACAAACTCGTCCAGGACCCAACAATTCGGCGGGTCACACAAAAAGTCTACAGATATGATGGAGTGCATTTCAGTGTGCCAGTGAGTTGATTTCCACTATGTTTCTCTGTCTGAGTGTATGTGCACATGCCTAAAAGTGTATCTTTGAAATGCAACCTGTATAATTGTTTTTCCAGGACTCTGGTTTTCCTCCTGTTGGTGAACTGCGGGACCCTAGACCCCGAAGACTGTGGTCCAGATATACAGAACTGTCCCTGCCAGTGCCGAAGTTTAAGGTGAGAATCACTGGTTGACATCAAATTTCACACATCACAAGCTGTTTCCAAGTTCTTCTCCCTGATTTTTATCATTCTTCTTCACAGCTTGATGAGTTCTATGTGGGTCCCATACCCCTCAAGGAGGTGACCTTCGCTAGACTCAATGACAACATCAAAGAGCCCTTCTTGGCAGAAATGTGTGCCAAGTTTGGTGAGGTGGAGGAGATGGAGATCCTTTTTCATCCCAAGACCAGGAAGCACTTGGGCCTGGCCAGGGTTTTGTTTACCAGCACCAGAGGAGCAAAGGACACAGTCAAGCATCTGCACAACACTTCTGTCATGGGTAACATCATTCATGCTCAACTGGATATAAAAGGTAAGCTATTACAACTAATGTGATTCTTTAAAGTATGAGCTATGTTATTGCAGTGATGCTTCAGACAGCAGTGGGTGAACATTGTAGCAATGTTTGTACTGTGCCAAATAAACACTTTTGAGATTTGGGTTTAAAACTGTGTTTATGTCCATCAAAACACATTGAAACGCTCCTAATTTGTGTAGCGCACATGGTAGCACAAAGGACCCATTGAGTGCTTAACTCCCCAAGGCTACACAACCCTGTGAATTACTTATTTTAATAATTGAAAAATTTATTTTAAGATTTTACATGGGCTCTTAAAACTGGATCTTTATACACATAGTAATACACACAGTGAAGCGCCGAAATGGGATGTATTTCAGCTTTGTATTTAATTCAAGATAGACCTGTAGTTTATGAGAAAATACTGAAGGTGTTTTAAAATATCCTTTCCTGCAATATCTGCACTTTTGTCCAGAGTTATACCAAAAGTGAGTCACTTGCTTATTGCCCCAGCTTCCCACAAACCTCAACTGTAAACAGTTTTATGAGGTCCTCCTAACTATACGGCCAACAAGCAAATAAGACAAAAATCATTGCTTCCTCTTTGTGGAGGCAGTTACACCTTGTTTGTCTTGAAAACCTCATTTTATAAGTTGTTACCGTTTATGTCTTTAGTTAACTAAATTCACAGCCTTTATTTATTTTTCTGTGGTGTGTTTTTTTTTTTACCCAGGCCAACAGAGGCAGAAGTACTATGACCTGATAGTAAACGGGTCCTACACTCCTCAGACAGTTCCCCTAGGAGGCAAGGCTTTGACAGAAAGGCTCCAACCTCAGGCCCCAACACAGCCACAGCCTGACACGGTATTGTCACAGGATTAATTGTCAAATCATTTATTTAATGATCATTGATTGATTGATGTGTGAATGGCTATGAAGAAGACTTTGGGTTTTTCAACAGCGTTATTATTAGTCATTACCTGCAAACATTCTGAATCAAATTAAGCATAATTATAGAGTGAAGAACAGAAACCCAATTTCTAAATTCTAATAAATACCTTTTTTATGCACAGTCATCAGAAATCAGGCGGAGGCTCTCCAGTGAGCTTGCAGTTTTGGCCGCAGGGGTTCAGGCCCTTACATCAGGAAGCATCACCCCGGGCTCTGCAGATACTGGTTACAGTGATCAGCGTCTGGACACACCCCCTTCTTCCATGACAGGACCCTACACCCCTGGCTCCTCTGCTTCATCTCAGGGTGGTGGAGGAACACCTTACAGCTCCAGATCTGGGACTCCTTTCTCACAAGACTCGGGCTTCTCCGGTGCCAGGTTAGTTGTTGATGGTTCAGCATATAGAAAGTTTCTTGTCTAAATTTTACCATTGCCTTAGTGCTGTTGTTATCATGAGGCAAATTCAGGTCCCTCAGTCGAAATCTTTACCTGTACATTATCAAATCAAGATTATGGGGATGGGACCTCAAGAAATAATTTCACAAATCATGTATGGTATTTAATTATCAGTGTTGTATTAGTAACTGCCAGTAACAGTTCTAATACTGTGAAAATGTAGCTGTAACTCTTCATAGCTTATCTGCGAATTTGTACACAACTCTCTTTTTGTTATCTTAAAATAAAATGTAGCTCAGCTCACACTGCAAGAGGAATTGCTCCAGGGTTCTTTGCAGCAGTTATGTTCTATGGACTGCATGTTTAGACAATGCACCAGTGTTTACCACCATTACATTACAATACAAGTATTTAAACAGTATATTATGTATGGAACATTCTGTTATTACATATCACAGGATCAGTGTTGGATGAACATAAATTTCTGAAATAAAATTAAAA